TTTTGAAGGCTGAACAGGTTCAGGTCCCGCAACCTTTCCTCATAGGACCTACCCTGCTGTCCCTTGATCATACGAGTGGCCCTCCTCTGGACCCTCTCGATGCTGTCCACATCCCTCTTAAAGTGCAGCGGCCAGAACTGGACGCAGTACTCCAGCTGCGGCCTGACCAGTGTCGCGTAGAGGGGGAGGATCACCTCCTTGGACCTGCTCGAGATGCATCTGTGGATGCACGACAAGGTGCAGTTGGCCTTCCTAACCGCCTCCCCACATTGCCGACTCATGTTCATCTTGGAGTCAATAATGACTCCCAGATCCTCAATAATGACTCCCAGATTTGGACACATGGCATGCCACACGCACAATGATAGTGTTTGGCCAGGTTCTTAAGTATCTCAGTGTAGACTGCTCTGTATCTCTTCGCCACCTCCTCACTTTGCCTTCCTGCAGGAGGACTGAGGCTTAACTGCTGCCCCAGAGCACAGTAGCAGATGCCATGACTCACTGCCCCACTTCTCTTTCTTCAACTGGATTTCAAGGGTGCTTCTTTAAGAAGCCATTAGCACCTCTCTCTGAAACCCAGTCTAAACAAACACTCAAGTGACATGTTTTCAGAGGCGAGGTGGGGGGGAGGATTTGTTCAGAAATCTGTGGGCAGGACAAGCACATGCGAAAAAAGCACCTCATAAGGTTACTGGAGAGTTTGAGCCCTGCCTCTTCTGCATGCTCCCCCCTGCACCAACCTGGTTCACAGTGTCTCCCTGGATCTTCATAAAACCTGGGAGAGCAAGTTTCCAAGATGCTTTTTTCTCCTCTGGATAGCTTGGTCTTTGAATGTGAAGCTGGTCACATGGCAGTTTCTGTTGAGTGATATTACCTTTTTCTTTATGGAAGTAATGTCTGCCAGGGACCTAACCGGCACCTACATAGCTGCAACACTGAAATATTTGTCATTCATGAGAAGTTTGAACTCTGTTTCAGCTTCTGGGAAATTAGGATCACCTTATACACATATTTGTACAAGTAAAGTGAAGGAGGAGAGTCCTCCCAATTTTTAGTCCTACAGCCAACTGATTAGGGGACTTATGCAGAGAACCAGTCAGATGTTAGCCCTCCCTCTCACAGAGGAGACCAGGCCATGGGCTAGGGCAGGGGCAGGCAATTCTTTTGGGCAGAGGGTCGCTTACCAAGTTTTGGCAAGTTGTCAAGGGCTGCATGGGTAGCCCTGCCCCTTGACAGATGCCCCACCCCCCAGTCATTGTTTTGGGACTGGAAGTATTGCCCCCTAACCCCCAACCGTTGTCACCAGAAGTCCCTCCCCTTGCCCCCAGAAATACTCCTTTCAGCAAGGGGTTTTACCATCTCAGAACCAGAAAAATACCAAATTATATTCTAAAAATTGAACATCTACAACTTTTATTAATTTGATTTAAAAAAATATTTTTGTCCTGATTTACATGTTTTTATGTAGTTTACACAGAGGTGATCACACAGTAGCCTTGGTGCTGGGTCCTGTCGGTTTCCTCTGGGGCCTACTGTCGTTTTTGACAGGCAGCCAAGAGCAGATAAATATTAATTATTAAACCTTTTAGGTGCCTCACAGGCTGGATAGAATGGCCTGGTGGGGTGTATCCATTCCGTGGACCGTATTTTGCCCACCCCTGGGCTAGGCACTACTCAAAGCACTCTTCATCCCTCCTCTTCAAGCTGGGTTACTGCACTTCACATTTAAATGCTATTATATGAACAGCAGTCAGACAGTTTCTACCCCACTGGGGAGAGAGTCCCTGGTCTTCCAAGGCAACATCCACCTCATTGAACGACTCACTTGAGTTCCTCTTCCTAACCCAACATAGTGTCTCTTCCTGGCTATCCACTGGGCCAGTTACAAGAGGAGAGCTGGTGAACACATACCTAGTCTGCAAGCCAGTAGTTAAAACACTTTGTGGTGCACTGGATCACACAGACTCAAACCCTACCTATGGATGAGAATGGCCTAGCATGCCAGTCTTTGTGTGCAAGGGCACTGACCCCTAACTAGAAGGCATGATAACTGTCATTCTCTAGAAACAGCTGTTAGTTGTGTTTAGTCTCCTCTCGTCTCAATTAAACCAGTGAGGCTGCCATAAAATTGAAGTCCACCTTGCCAGAGAACATGTGCACCTTTTGCTTGGGACCTGCTTTTCTACTGCCTTGTTAAGTTTGTTTATGTAGATGTTTTCCAAGTAGGTGAACAATTTAACTGTTCTGGTTTAGTACCCATAGAAAGACAACACAGAAGAGTAGAGACCTGAGCCCATCCTGTATAACCATTAAAAAAAATTAAAAGACAAAACAAGCCCTTGTGCAGATGTTGAATTCAGTGGTTTTGCAGCTGTGTAAGTGACAGCAGAAGTCAACCTATAAAGGTTAAGGCTCCTTTCCCTTGCCATGACACTCAAAGTAGCAGTTAGATAAAGCCATTCCAGTAAACACCATATGCTCTGAATAAACATGAACTACAATTGATTTTTCAAAGAAAGAAAACCGAAAATACTGAGTGAAATGACATAGCAAAATTTATGCACAAGATGACTCATTAATTTACTTCCCCCTGTGAGAGTTAGGTAAATGATATTTACATTCTTGTGACATGAGCAAATAAGTAAATAATAAATAGTGGAAGGCTAGATCTTTCAGCTAGGAGAATGTCATCTCTTAAGAATATTATACTTTGAGTTATGCTTCTATGACAACACTGAAATTAGTACAGTCGTATGTGTATAATTAAAGCAAAATATGTCTGTTGGCCCGTACACTACAACCCCCTGGAGATTAGGTAGATTTTTTTGTCACCAGCCAGAGTTTAACCAGGGAATTAATTAATATTTTGTATATTGCATTTATAGTTAATTCATTTTTTGAGTTTGAGATGTATAAATGCCTTAGCTGCTATAAATGATAGATCCAGCACATCATACCCTTGAGTTTGCACTTTACTGTTGCTACAGATATAGCTGAATCTAGTTTTTATTAATGTAAATAACAGCTTGCTGTGTACAACTAGGATGAAATTCTATTTCCCTTTGTGCATCTGAATGGCAGCTTTCTAGCTTAGTACCAAAAATACCACTTACACACAAGTATTAATTCCATTTCCCCTGCATTGTGAATACATTGCTGTATGCACAGAGACTGCATGCTTAGTAGGATACACACTGGCTATGCACATATGCAACAAGGGGGGCAAGACAGGGACTGCACTGAGGCCCATTCTAGCCCCGGTCCTCTTCCCATGCTGCCAGTGATCAGCTGTTTGGCAGCTGGCAGGAACCATGTTGGACCTATGCAAGCCCCTGTGTAGTCCACCCAGGTACAGATTCATTTTAAGGCACCATTAAAACCATTTTCATTTAATAATTTTGTGGATGGTTTTGCTTTTTGTAAAACCATTAATTATCTGAAGGTGTGGCCAGGTTACATTTTAAAATGGGATTAACTAGTTATTCTCATTTTAAGTGTAACATCTTCCAGGGGTCTAATCTACAAGAATACAGGCAGCCAGAAATACAGTACTAGTAGATTTTAGTCTCTAGATGCAAAAGTCTTTCTCATAGCTTAGCCCCAGGAGTTGAATGGTCCTAGCTCCCTCATTCAAGCTTGAATCTATGTCTCTGATTTCCAGGAGGAGGGCACCAGGCATCATGCCACCAGTCGGGCATTATCTATGCCCCTTCTCTGGCAATCAATCCTATTGATTGCCCTGGGACAGCTCAAGGATGGAGATACATGGGTCTAGGAAATAAATAGGCAAGAACGAGGGTATGTGGCTCAGTGCAGTGGGTGCTGCCCTAGGAAGATGAAGTAGGCTCTGGGTCATACATTTGGCTTTTACTCCCAAAGCAGCAGAAGATTCCCCACTGTGCTACCCTCTATTCATTTCAGTCAGTGGAGGGTAAATGCAAGGGGCTGTGCCTTAGCCTTAAAAGTAGCAACAGAGGTATGATCAGTGCCAGAGTTTGGTAATGCCAAGTCTGTAGTATGGTGGTACCCTAAGCACTCAAGTATTGGGGGTAAAACATGTGGCTTTGGGGCTTTCCCCACCACATTATTTTTTCCAGGACTTACGTTTGGGTATGCATGAACATAGCTGCATATATGCCCAACCAGTGCATACACTTAAATGGCCAAATCACAAACTGAGAGCCAAAAACCATGAGGCAGACAACTAGAAAACTGCCATTTAGACACACAAAAGGAAATAGATTTCCACCCCTACAAACAGAAAAATCCTTCAATTTGAAATGCTAAAATTCATCATGCTTTGTCCAGGATAAATGTTGGAAATAAAGAGTGATAGATCAAAGTTTCTTCTTGGGTTGTATAGTCCTTACTGTGCAGCAAATTTAAATAATTGCTAATTTTCTTCTAGGAGTATCAACCTTGTAACACCAACTCCTGTCCAGAGTTAAAAAAAACCACCCCATGGACTCCTTGGACTCCAGTCAATATCTCAGACAATGGTGGCCACTATGAACAACGGTTTCGATATACTTGCAAGGCACGACTGCCTGACCCAAATTTGCTGGAAGTGGGAAGACAAAGGATTGAAATGCGTTATTGTTCTAGTGATGGTACCAGTGGATGCTCCACAGATGGTAAGCAGAAATAGAGCAGCTGAATGATATCATCTGCTAGTGAGATGGTTTTATTTCCATTTTTGTAAGAGTGGATCTTCATGTCTTGCTGTGTTTTTGCCTAATAGAAATGTTAATGGAAATATGGACATATTGATCACAACAGGGAAACTAGCTTATACTTTTCTAGACTTAACTTATTATCACAGGATAACTAGGTATTTTTACCCCAGGCTGTAGGATTTGTACCTTGTTGGAGAGTTAGATAAATTATATTTATGCTTTTGCAATGTAAGTAGATAATAATACCCAATAGAATGCTGTATCTTGCAGCTGAGAATGTCATCAAATTATGATTTTGAAACAGGCTCCCTGTTAAAGATATTCTACTCTTGGTTCCATTCAAATAACACACTTGAAATGAGGAGGGCTGTTTATATGTAAACTAGTTGTTTGAATTGTTCTTTCTCAAAATCAACTCCTCAGGGTAATTGCTGTACAACTGGCCTAAGTACAAACAGTCAGAAAGCCCAAGACTAAATTGATTCAATCTTCACAGGTTGATTCAATCTTCAATCTAAGTTGCTTAGATTGAACCAATAAGCAAGTGAATAGATATTCACTTTTGATTGTAGCAATACAGTCATATGCCTGCCATGGCCTAGGCCAGAAGTCAGGGGGTGCTAGAGAAAGCCTCCTTGCTTGGGTGGAGCAGATAGTTTGAGCCAAGTCTAGCCCACCCACCTTGCAAGATGGGAGTTGTAGGGGAGATACAAAGCAGCCTGGGATAGGGGAGATGTGAGTTAACTTGAATCTAGAGGGGATCTGGGACAGAAGTTCAATAAATTGATTTAAGTTAAATCAGTTAAGTCTGATACTGCATCCATCCAGGTTTATTTTAAACCAGTTTTGGCCATTTTGAAAATAGTTTGTGTGCCCTGAACTTCTGTTGTGTTACAGATTTGAACTGGTTTCTAATCACTTATACCAGTTTATGTGTAATTTCTGTGTCCAGCCCTGAAGTTTAAATCTTGAGAACTATTTCATTTCCTTTTATTCTAATAGACTTTTGTTAGATATTTTATCAAAATCTAATTTTATTTGTTAAATATTGGCTATGCTGATGAAGAGAGCTTTTCGTTCAGTAATTTTTAAACCATTACTGACTGTATGCATTTGACCATTAACTAAATACATAACTTATGAAGTGGATAATTTATATTATAAAAGTTTTATGCCACCTAGCTATCACTACTGTTTTCAAGTTTTGTTTCCTTCTGTGAAGACGGAAAGACCTCATCACCAAAGTGTGTGTAACTTTAAATGTATTTTCCATACACAGTTTGTTTGCATTAAGTTATTTTCCCTTCATCAGTAGTCACCAATGTTCCCTCTAAGGTGCAGTGGTCCATGAATGTGCTGCTTCAGTCTGTGAGCAGCTTACAGGGAACATTGATAGTTACCGATATCCCATTTCCTCCAAGAACATGACCAAACCCTTCATAAACCTGGCTGAACTCCTCAGTTTCCACTGCATCTGGTGTCAGTGAGTTCTCCACTTTAACAAGACATACGGAAAACTAAAACTCTTGGTTCCAAAATGACACCTTTTGTTAGACCAACTGGGAAATTGCAAGAAAACTGTCCTTTTCTGCAAGCTTTTGAGATCAAAGTCACTTCGTCAGGCTCTGAGAAAAGTATAGATGGTACAAGATGGTAAAAAGTCCCCATAGGTAGGAAATAAACTTCATTTTTGGACAAAGGGAGCTGAAGATGGAAGGCTGTCCCTCAAAAATGAAGATGGAGGGACAGCCTTCCATCTTCAGCTAGTTTTTGTATGTCTTTTTGTCTCAGACCAACACAGCCACCAAGTACACCACTTTAATAACACACTGGGTGAAAAAGAACTGCCTTGTGCTCATTTTAAACTTACTATCTGGTAATTTCGTTTTGTGACCACTAGTTCTTCACTGATGAGAGCTAGTCAGTAATAAATCCCTATTGACTTTACCTTCATTATTTAGTATTTTGTAAATCCTTCTCATGTCCCCCCTTGAGCATCTCTTTTCTAAACTGAACAGGCCTGGCTTTGTTAGTCTCTTCTCATCAGGAAGCCCCCTCCACACCTCTGACCTTCTCTAGCTCTTCTATATTCTTTTGGAGGCATGGGTACCAGAACTGGGCATGGTACTTAAGGTATGGACACACTGTGGATTTACCAAGGTACATAAAGATACTTCCATAATTCTCTCAGCAAACTCTCCCTCATTTTAGGCCCAGATGGCCCACAGATCATTCTGTCCCTAATAAAGGAATCTTGTTATGTTTCCAAAATTACATGTGGATGCCAGTGTTTTCAGCTGTCACATAATTAACTATTCCTCCTTCTGGATCCTGATTCTAGGTTGAAAAAAAAAAGTAGTATATTTTGCAGTTGCAGTACCCCTGCAACTGGTGTTTCAACCTGCAGAGTTGTTACACAAAGGAGCTACTGGGGGCATCCAGCACCAGGCTGCCTGTCCAGAAGGGCCTGATGGTAGCACCAGGTTGACTGCACCTTGATCCCACCCGCCCTTGCCCCATGTAAAGATTGGGGGCTGGGCCGGGACATATGCCCTCACTTGGCTGCCTGTGCCATGTGTCTGGAGGGGCCGCTGCACTCCGGGCTGGGTCATGGGGCAATGAGTGCCCAGCAACTCATCCAGAGGTGCAGCGCAGGGGAGGTGGTGGGGGGCGGTCAATGTGCTGGATAAACCACTGGGCTGCAATTGCTCCAGCCCAGCTGGGGCCCCATTCACAGTGAACGGGCCCCCGGCTGGGCCAGGTCATAAGACAATCCCCACAGTGTAGGAGGGAGCAGGGCAGCGCCCTGCCCCTACCATTCTTCCTTCTGCGCTGTGGAGGTCTCGATCTGCCTGCCCTCCCCCACAAGCGCAGTTACACTTACCTGCCCGCGGCTGCAATCCTGGCTGGGAGTGCACGAGTATCTCAGTGTGCCTGCCCCTCCCCACTCCTGCAGCAGCCTGTGGCTGGGTTGGGGTGGGTACAGGTCATTAAAAATTTACTGCGTGGCAAGATTTTTTCTTGTGCATGGCCACGCACGCACACAGCTTAGAGAGAACCTTAGTAGCCACATAGTTCTGAATAAAAAAAATAGCAAAATATATTTATTTTTTTGAGATATTTAGATGAAGTCCAGTCAAATTTTATTTAGTAAGTAAGAGTAAGTTCATTGAAATGTATTAGTAGGTATAAAAACAATTTCTTTTGCCTGTTAGAAAATAGGATGTATATATATTAATTTCTTTTTCATTAATATCTGTTTGGGAATCCATTTAACTCAAATGTTCATAATGATAAAGGCCTCTTTTACATTTTTCTAAATTGCTAGCCAGGCTCACAATGATATCACGTAAGAGGCTTAGCTAAACTTTGTCCCAGCATTATTTTTACAAAATATTTTTAAAACCTGTCTAGAAAGAGGTTTTCTTTTGTACCACCCATAGATAACTCGCATGCTTTACATTTTTATATTTCCACTTTTTAAATAGTCTGGCAGATGTCAGTAAAAATATTTTTTGTGTCTGGTACTTTGCTGTTCTTGTATTAGTGCTTTTAAATCAAGCCAAGAGGGTTAGCTAAGTCTATAAACGTATGTTGTGAGCAAGTGGAGTATAAATAAAAGCCTCAGAGTTTCATATTAGCTAGGGTCAGGAGGGACCTGAACAGATCATCTAGCCCAACCCCTTGCCACAGGCAGGAATGAATGCTGGGTTCACAAGACCTCCCCCAGCCAGGTGATTGTCCAACCTCCTCTTGAATTTACCCAAGGTAGGGGCGAGGACCACTTCCCTGGGGAGTTGGTTCCAGATTTTGGCCACCCTAACTGTAAAAAAATTGCCTTCTCATCTCTAACCTAAACCTATTCTCCATCACCTTATTACCATTATTCCTCATCACCCCAGGTGGTGCTGGGGAGAAAAGGGCTCTACCTATTTGCTGTTGATCTCCCCTGATGAGTTTGTAGGCAGCCTTGTTACACACTGCACTTAGAGCTGCTCGAATGTTGATGTGTGTTAGTGCGAGCTCCAGTTCAGAGCAGTCACACTTTAAGACTAAAATTTTTCACTGACTGTTCCCCCACCTGTACAGCTACATCTTGCCACTAGGGGGCTGGGGAGCAGGGAGCTGGCTAGAGCTACAGCTGTGAGTTGCCAGCAGAGGACTGGTGAGCCAGAAACAGGGTTTTATCCCTGCTCTAGGTCGGGGCATGAGAGAGATGGGATGGAGGTGGGAACGTGAAGGTGGGAGGTGAAGAGTTAATAGGATAGGGATGGATAATAAAATTGAAGGTGGAAAGGAAATGGGGATGGGGGAAGGGTGATAAAATGAAGTTGTCCAACCATTGAAGGATAAAATAAAAAGTAGTAAAAATAAAAGAATTTAAAAAGAAATAAAGAGGAAATAAATTAAAGAAGGTCTCATGTTTTAATACATTGAGATTTGGGAATGGGGTGTGGGGTGTGCTGGTTGTGCTTCCCAGGAAAGCTAGGAGGTGGGAGAAGTGAGGAAAGGAGCTTTTGGAGGAAGCCACAGCTCATGGGGACCCAATGCAGCCCCTTCCCTTGTTCCCCCTCTCACCCATCTAAACCCCACTCCTGGACCTGTCTATGCCCTGCAACCTAGCTGGCTGGCATGTGCTGTGCAGGCTGTTTGCATGGGGTCACACAACTTGAGCTAGGAAAGTCACACTCTCAGGGGCAGGAGGGGGAGTTGATTTGGTGTCCTGGGCAGTAGAGTTCAGGGAGTGGAAAGTTTGTCCACAGAGAACAGGAGGGTGCAGGGGGGACACTGCATCCTAGAAGACTGACACTTGGATGGCTTACCTGTGTGGAGGGGCCATACATTAATAGAACACAAGCTGGGTAACCCAGATCAGAGATAAATCTGCCTTGGAGTGGTGTAACTTTGAGCTGCCTTTTAAAGTGTGCTTAAAACTACTTCCATGTGTTACTGTGTGG